AAATGCAATAAAATTTATATTTTTCTAAGCAAAATAATTAAGAAAATGCCTCAATTTGTAGAAATATTCTATATTTTTCCATTTCCTCTAGAAGCTGTACACCATTTCCGACCTAATATCTGTCCCTTGCGCCAAAGAACACTTTATTTCTACCGCAACTTTACTTCCCCGTCGATATATGAACTTTTCCGGATTAAGAGGGGAAAATCTACGTAACTCAATAAGTGATGAAGACAAAGCTTCGAATTCAATTATGCGCTTTTGCTTTCCCAACAAAGTTAAGAGGATTTCAGCACTTAATTAATACTCGCGAGATCAATAGTAGGGCAATTTTTCTCTTTCCCAAAATAATCCCTAAAAACAATGTGTAACTTTTGAAGAAACACCTTGTATATAATATACCTATAAAGTTGCATTTAAATGTCTGGCAGATTAATTAAAATGCCTAAAATATGTTGCGTGTTTTTGCCAAATATTCTGTAAAGCAACAAATGTGTGAAGCAATAAATATGATAATTAAATTGAAGCAATATTTCGCATTTCAATCCACCGATGCCAGAATGTTGCCATGTTTGGCTTGAGGAAAATTTCTTTGGGAAATTCTTGGCTCATTTGTTATTGTCAGCGGCAGAAAAGGTTCATCATTTCTCATCTGGCGGGAAAGTCGGGCCTCAAATAGTAATCAGCATATCTCTGCATGGTGAAGAAAATAAACCACTTTTTCCACGCAATCAGTGATAATGACGTTGGCCATGAGCAATTCTGACGAAAGCCACAATTCACCTTCAGCGATATCGCGTCATTATCACTCGCGCCTGAAGCATTATAAAAAAAAGAGATATTCTCAACATTGTGAACACTTTTCATCCCGAAAAGCGCCACTTCATGTTAAAGCTGACATTTTTATTGCATATTAAACTGCTGGATATTTCTGTATAACAATTCGATGACACGAAATATACACCTTTATGTAAAATTCATCGGTAATTTTATACAATTACCGCCACACAAATTCCTATAATCCTCGCTCTTGTCTCTCTCTCTCGGCTGTGTTTCTCTATTGAAATGAGGAAGAATTTGCGGTAACATTTGCCATGTTAAAGGGAATGATTGTGCCCAGAATAACAGGTGCACTTTTCTTCTGTTTGCATTTGCACGCGCTTCCAATGGTGAGAGTGTCAAGAGAGAATGTTCAGAGGCGTTTCCCTCCGCCAGCACCACTAATTATGTACATCTCTTTGCAGTCCAGCTCTGCACTTTGCTGCAAAAAAAAAAACAATTTCGTATATATATAAAAATCTTAAATAATGACCATGAGTCACACGATTCCGCAGTTTATCGTCCGGTTAATGTTTGGCGAGATAAGATGCCGAGGCAAGAGAGTCTCTCAATTAACTCACATGCCAAGAGGAAGAGTGAAAAGATGTAAAATGTTTATTTATGATAAATATTATGCTCAAGAGATGCTCGCTGAGGGTGTGCTGGCGCGCCCGATTTCACTCCAGCCTCGCTGCCGATGTAATGAGATTTCTCCAACACACACAGCCAACATCATCCCCAGACGGCCGGAGGGTGAATAATTCCAATCGGAAATCCCAAATGTTCTCCTCTCCCTCTCGCCATCCCACACCGAAAAACCCTCCGGCCGACGATCCTCCACGAGCGCCGCCGACTCTCCCGGCTCAGCAATATCACTAATGCTCTCGGGGTGGAAAATCCTTCTGGGTGGAATAGCCACTTCCAACCCTCCCGCTCACAGGGTCACCCGCAAAACTCCTCTCCGCTTTCTCATCGCGTTTCAAGCGCGGTGGATTATAATTTACACTCAGGCAAATTAGAGAGGAACTCGAGAAGATTGACGTGCAAATTAGGCGTCGTTGCAACAATACAGATTTCCTGTTTGAATTCGTAAAAGATATCAATTTGATATTCCAATTTTAAATTTGTACGAATGTAATACAAGCGCACAGTTAAATTTTATTTACTACAAATTTCAGCTGTCAAAAATACATTCATTTTTCTGTACCTGTAAATGATTTGAGAAATCAATAAATTCCTCTGGAAAATGTCATAGAACGTCCGGAAGTACATAAATTCAATTTGGAGCATTGAAATGTTGTACAAATGACCGAAGAAATCCAATAAATCCTTGAAAATCAACCTAAAGACATCATTTCTGTCTATTTCCTCGCTTTTCACACGACTTTTCACGTGAATTTTCCGGTTCTTCTTCTCTTCACGCGACAAAATATATAAATTGCGGTTTCAGACGTCATCGTTTGAAACGTTTCCGGTCTTGCAGAAGAGAATTTCTGCACTTTCGTAAATGATTTACATCATAATCTTTCAGCACCTTTTTACAAATTCATGTTTTAGACAGCTAATTTAAAATGTTATGAAAGTAAAGTTGCAACGACGCTTCATTTAAGAACACATTCAATTAAGAGTGATTCCTAAAATGACACAAATTGCAGCGATTTTTTATTTATAGAAGTTTTATATATCCACACGCCACTGTGTTTGATAATCTTTAAAGGTTGAAGAATTTGGAAATTCCTTGCCAAATTTGCATTTTCGACCTTCGTAAATTAAAGACAAGAAAAACCTTCAAAACTCTCAAATGTTTATGGCAAGAATTTATGATTTATGCGTGGCATAATAAAATTTGTATTATCGGCACCTCGAGGAAGGTTTAGGAATAATGTGGTGTTGAGAAGGGAAAATAAACATAAATAAAGAGAAAATAAACAATTTCACGAGATTGCGTAGAATCAGATTTGTCATCGTCAAAATTCTACTGAATGAATGGGAGATAAATGCGGGAAAAGAAGTGCTTTTAGCTCAGCTCTAATTACCGAAATGATCAATATAAAATTAAAATCAGTATAAATAATTACTCTGTTATCCATTTCTGATGTCATCGATGGTTTTTTAATACTCTAATTGCAGTAAACTCTTAAAATTGTGAGATTTAGCATTTTTGTTGACTCGATTTCTTTGATTTTGAGCCAATTTTGACTCGCTTTCTGGCTGATTTTTGCTCAAAACTCACAAATTTCGCAAAATCAGTCAATTTCCACTGTTTCTGACTTTGATCCATTTCAAGATTTGACAGATATTCTCAATTTTTACAAGTTTTTCACCATAAATTTCGTTTCAATCCTCTTGATTTACAAGATAAAATATTGTTACTCGTTTTCAAAGTATAATTAAGCACACAATAAACTAATAAAAGAGCTACAAATGGTCAAATTTAGCTGTCGTGAGACTTTAAGAAATCATTTTCCGCTAAATTATGCTCTAATCTTGGTAAATTTCCACCTGCTGTGCTGAGGAAAACAATGCAATGAGGAAGATTAACCATTTGTTGAAGATAAATGTCTTCATTTCCTAGGAAAACCTCGGAATTTCTTTTCGCAAATAATGGTGAGTCTCAGAATTCGACTTTGCAATAGAAAATTCTAATGATTTTTTGTAAATTCATGCAATTTGGCTCGTAAATGGCGTTCGTTGAGAATGTGAAAATTAATAAATGCCATAATTATGAACAAAAATACGCCCCGAGAAGAGATGATAAATATTCTGTGTCTTCTGAATTGTTTTGCCGAAGGAATGCAGATGAGGAATGAAAAGCAGAAAGGCAATTAAGACAGAATAACCTCGTGGAAGGGTTAACTCAATTACTTGTCTCTCATGTGATTTTATACTGGACAGAAAGGGATGCAACCGTGCATTTCATATTTCGACGAAAGATTTTAATGAAGACAGCGCGCGTCAATCAATATCAATCTAATTGAATCTCCCTCTGGGCTTCCTTTTCAGCTCTCATGTGTCGTCCAATTAAAGTCTGGAGCGCGAACGCCTCTCGATCGCTTCTGTTTACTCCAAACAGGCATGAACTGGGTCATAATCTTTTAAAACAAATACAGCGCGAGCACTATGGTTGAAAATGCAAAAGAAAAGTGATGAAAATGGTGAATTATTGCATTTAGTGTGGCGCCACGTCTCGACTTTTCAATAATAACTATCAATTCCCGCCATACGCAACGGATCTCAGAGAATTTTTGCTCTGGGAAGTTATATATTGTCAGAACTTGAGGTATGCTCGCGAGGCAATTCCTTTGTCGCAGAAACTATCGACAATACGTGATGTGACTTCTTTGATTCTCGCTCGCCAACCGCCAAGACTCGGAGTTTTGTGGTCCATCAGGACCAAGTCTCTTGCGCCACTCTCTATGTATTGCTGGAATTTTAATAAATGGAAAACGCTCCTATGTACCCCGGAGTAACCCTCGCATTGAGCCTTATGTAAACCCATGTGCCACCACCATAAGTGTGTTAGACGAGCCATATATAAGCCGTGCTGGCAAGTGTGTGTGTGTGTGCGTTTCAAGCTCGGCACTTCGTACTGACGACGTTGGAAACTGTGGGGCGCAGATGAGGTGCTCCAGCTAGGTGCTCACCTAGCTTAGGATCTCCACAAATCCCAGTAACTCCAGAGCGCGAGAGCGGTAGAGCCGAAAAAACCAACCCTGCAGAACCTTGAAATGTGGGCACAAAGGAGCAAAAAAAACAAGGCATTATGATGGAAAATGATCAAAACGATTTTTTTTCCAACGTCACCATTCATTATGTAGAAGCGGATGATGCTTCTGCAGACCTTTTGGGAAGCGACATCAGCCCTGTGCACACGGGAAAAAAAACTGTCAGTTGGGGTGCTCTCTGTCGTCTCTCTTCCTCCTTCGCCCCGTGTGCAGCGCCAGAAGAGGATGGTGTGCAGTCGAGGCGAAATTTGTGAGTGCAACCGAGAAGCTCTGGGACAGTTGGCTCGGGTGAGAGTGGGACAGGCAGTTATCCCACTCTCTGTGGATGTTAGAGGGGGTATTATTATCAGACCGAGTCAGCACAGCAAACGAACCTACAGCTGCCCGCACGCCCGACTTTTCGTGCTTGTATATAGTGGCTCGAAGAGGGAAACTTCATCAACACACATCAGTTCACTTCCAGACGCGCTCGGAGTTGGTTGTGTCGCTGCCGGTTGTCGCGAGTACACCTCGACAAGTCCACATTCACACCTCGCCAATCAATATCAATTTTCCATTTCCACGTCGCGACGGCGTTCACCCCGTTTCATCTACCAGCGATCCGGTGGAAAAGTGTCGCCTATGCGGTTAGTGGGAGACTTCCGAGAGAGGTTATGTACATAGAGGCGTCGAGCAATTGAAAAAGCGGGTTTAGTGTAAGTACAGTTGAACCTCGAATTACAAACTGACATTTCTGCATGCTAATTGCCTGCAATTGTAGATTAGATTGAATGTAATCCCTTCTGTAAGATATCCTAGCCCACTTAGAATCACGTTCAGGTCATCCTTGGGACAAGTCAGCGACTAATTAAGCAGCCGTTTGGGGGTCTCACTGTAGAGATAGCAGCTTGTTTCTGTGTGGCTGACAAAGTTTCACCACTACTAAGCTATAGGGGCCTATTGTATCTCGCGGTGGCCGTGCATGTGTGTCCTTGCTATATGCAATATGCTGAACATACTCACTATTCTCCTAAAGGGGATAGAGTGAGAGCACACAAGGTACATAAGACTGATTGGTGCGTTTGTATTAGGGATACATAATGTGGCACGGTTGGTTTATTTATTTTATTTTACCATTTGTGCACTCCGCAAAGGACTGAGGAAAAATAAATTTTTGGGATTGTGTGACAGAGAGTTGGGAAGGGGATTGCCATTAACGGTGGGAATATCTTTCCTTCCACACAACACAGCTTTATGAATTTTTAATATAACTAATTGCATCTCTACGGTCTGTCCTATGAATTGATGAGATCTCCCATGACCTGAAGGATATCTTGGGACTATCTCACCGTGGGGATCTTGCACATTTACCCCGCGGTCAGAGAAGTGTAACGAAAAATTGTCCTACAGGCCCCGGCTATATCTGATGGATAGAAACAAGGAAGGAAATTAATTCGCCTCGGTCTAACCTCAAAAACTCCTATATCCACAAGTATTCTCGCTTTATTTATCCCCAACTCTCTCTGTGCATCGTTTTGTGGTAAGGAGAGAGGAGAAAAAATGGTATATATATAGTGTGAGATATACAAGAGCCGATTCATAGGTTTGTTGCTGTACGTTTTTCCCACTTCTTTTGCCGGCTCGACTGTCGAGTTCTCTTCACCCTGTATTTATCCGTTCCCGGTGTTCCTCTCTTATGTTTGCGGCGCCTCTATGTATACACACACCCGAGTTAGAAGCTTGGTATCCATGAGCGACGGTGCCGTAAGGGTGTGAGGGGTCCTTTTTCTCTCAATTCCGCGTACACAACTTTTGCCGCTCGCACTTCTTCCGTTCTCTCCTGCCTGACGGGTCATCACACCGCCACGGACTTGGCAAACCAGTTCCCCAAGGGAAACACCACTATCCTTGGCATTGAACCTATATAACCCATGGGAAATTGACAGTTGAAGAGTGGAAATTTAAAGTTTTTCCCCTGCACAGAAACACCGGCTCGAGAGATGGTGGTCCTGCCAGACGCTGTCGCGCCTTCGTCCAAGGTTCTGCTGAGAGATGTGAACGAGTGCATCACTTGCCATATTTGCAAGGGATACATCATCGATGCCACGACCATCGTCGAATGCTGCCACTCGTGTAAGTAATTCCAAGAATCCTCAATTGTTGCTAGGAATTTTCCTCTCCCAAGTGCAATCACATCACCGGGCATGAGGGTTCCTCCACACTTTCGTTATCCTGCATCAGCGCTATATCTAACATTCCATGTACAAAAGGGGGTGATTGAGAAGTTGTCGGACTATTAAATTTGCCCTAAGCTATTGTTTTCACAATTAAAAGAATTATAGAAAGCGATAAAAATATTTTTAATCAAATTTTAATAATAATAAATTTGATTTAATCTTTAAATACAACATGTATAAGATTATAAGGAAGTTGGGTATATGTAACCAACTCCCTCTGCCGCCTCATCTCGCTGCATCCCCTCCGCTCCGCGCCACTCCAGTCAAATAATGCTAGCAGCGAGATTCTCGTGAGAAGGAGAAGGCCGCCATAACAGTGACATTCCCGCCATAATATCTCCAGTGAATCAATTCAAGTTGTCAAGTTTCGTATCCTTTCTTATAATTTGTCACTATTTGGCATTTGAGACTAAATCTTTTATTCACTATGAATTGGTTCACCCCTGATAAATATGTCGTGTCACACTGTTAGGTGTTAGATTGACATATTTTGCATAAAATGTGAGAAGATTTATTGACACAGTGCAAAGTGGATTTGGATGAATCTTCAAGTTTTGATGGAGCAGCATCGTTTGCACGCCTAACTATGCTGTCGTGCTGACTTGCATATCTATAGTTTATCTAAGAAGATGTTTATCTATGAAGATATGCTGAATCGCTAAAGGACTGAAGTGAATTTTTCTGAATTGACGGAAACAGAGATTTTGGTTTAAGGTCCAAATCCGATAACTTATTGCCCACACTCAATACCAGTGGCAAGAGAGCTTATGCGTGAGGGTTTCATTCCGGCATTGCTCTCCGATCGGTATGTGGCATTAATTTGATTCTATACTTTTAATGCGCCACTTTCTCTATATACATGTGTGTCAATGGGTGCGTTGGAAAAAGGGGAGGAAATCCAGCAATTCGCCCAAAATTCAAGCAAGAAAAACTAACATATCTCCGCTTATCCTCAACAGTCTGTCACAGCTGCATCGTTCCGCACCTCAGGACAAAGGAGTACTGTCCAAAGTGTGAATTGATCATCAACAAGACCAAGCCGAATATCAAGTGAGTAGAGAAATTGACAATAATTCGATAAAAAATTTTTGTACCCAACAAACCGCGCCGGAGAATTTAATCACTCAATTGGGTTTTGTGAAGGAAATTTGCTGGATGCGCCAGCAAAATGAAGATTGACAGTCTCGAGGAAATTTCATGTGAGTCGCGCGCGCGTTCGTGTGTGTGTATTTTGAAGTCCATTGTTGGGAGTAGAGATGCTAAAATATGCACTTCTATCGCGAAATGGAGAGATAGAGAGAGAGAGAGAGAAAAAAGACTGGGAATTTGGCATGATAAATGCAAATTTTAATTTCACATGCCATTCATAATTCACTATCGTCGCAGTGCCTGAATAGGGCCAACACGGAGAGCGTGTTAGAAGGGGGATTTCATTGAGGTGTTCTCTGGACAAATTTCTCAATAGGGCTGCGCGTTCCCATAGAGATGTTATCTGCTGACGCAATTAGCAGAGTGCCACGGATTACGGATGGGTTTATTAAAGGATATTTATGGGGTGAGGGAATTTAATCTGCGTAATTTCCTATTAAATTTATTAAAAACTTTCTTCTCAACAGCAGAAAAAAAACACAAGACACAATTCTTGGAATAGCGCTAGACGCTCATAATTAATATTATCATGTCTAGTGTCTCTCTTTCTCCCACTCTAAGATGCTAAATTGTTTGGCCCTAAAAGAGTGCCATTAAAGCCGGTAGAAGAATGTACTTGAAACTTTTTTATGCTCTCCCTTCGGTCCCGGTGTGAAGCATATTTCCACCTTGCACTTGGTAAATTAATAATAAAAAGTCTTTAACGATGTCTAAGAGTGCTCATTTTTGTTTTGAATGTACACACAAGGAAAGGGAGGCGCCCGACGAGCGCGCGCGGGGAGTTTCGCCTCCAAAACGGTTAATGGGTGGTGAAATTGCTTACTTGCGGAGTGATTTAATTATATCCCCGCACAGTGCCAGTGACTCTTTGCGTTTTGGACTCTCATCCGCAGCCCCTTCCCCCATCAATCCACCCACTTTAATTACCCCCCGCGAACACACGAGGGCAATGGGATGTTTTTCGATTAATCGGCCAATATCTGGGACATTGCAGCCATAGTGAAATTGGTTGACTCGGATGAATGCTCATTTGGCTATTTCAGTGCATAAGCGCGCATGGAAGGGTGAAATCAATTGTTTAAACACTGTTTCTTCGTCAGCAAACCATAAGCTCTCTATTTACGTACCCCTGATTGCTAGTGTTGTTATTATAAGATTAAACTGAAGCCCGGGAAGAAAGGCGACACTGAGAATTTCTCAGCCAGACACAATTTTCCAAACTGTGAATAAACACATTTTCGTGTGCACAACAGTGCTGAGAGGAAGATTATGTGCGACATCAAGTTTAGTTACACCAGAGAAGAAGGTTTCGTTTCAAATATCTAAATATTGATTTTAAATATGTGTGAAAAAATCAAAATTTAAATATATTGAAATATTTGATTATTTTCTCGACATATTGCAATAGTTTAAACTTTAAAGGCATGTAGAAGTTCCGATCTTTGTTCCTAATCCTACTTTAGGGCGTTAAATCCAGTTTGTGGCTAAATTTGCGACTTATTTCTTTTTTTAAAATTCTTTTTTATATGTTGAATATGTTGTAAATATTTTATTTAATCTGTTTTACAATTTTTATTGGTTTTTGAAATTTATTTTAATGATAATTGTTTCGAAAAATACAATTGGAACTTCTACATGCCTTTAAACTGCTGCCCTCTTGCGGGAATATGTGGAGAAAATAATCAAAATTATATAAAAAATTCACGAAAAATAAAAAATAAGTGATTTAATTGGTTTTTCTTTACAAAAATCAATAATAAACTGACAGATTAATTGATGATCAAGTTCTGTGGAATTGAAATGTTCTTTGTGTGAATTTTATTGATTCTCCTAATCTGAATTCAGTTATGAGTTTAGTTTTTTTGCTCGTTTCGCAATTCCTCAGCAAGCGAAACACCTTGCGAGTTTAATTATTCCCACCACTGTATCCAGTAATCTGAGGGAAATCTCATCATCTCGCTCTTGTGTTTGGCTGCACAAGACGTCAGAGCTTATGCGTTTTATGCGATAACGGACTGGGTGCTGGTTTGAAAAGCGACCAACAAGTCGCGAGCGCCAATTAGAGACTCATATAAATTACGGTGTTCATCTTATGTAATGCTAAATGGACTGGTCGTGTCTCTAACTTGGTCAAAGATGGTAGTGTTTTCTCTCGCTGCGCCAGCAATTTTGCGCGTCTCTTTGCGCTGAAATTGGCAAAGAAGCCACTTTGTCACTCTGTCCGTACTTTCACAAACATGTTGGATGTGGCGGAAAAAAACCAGGAGGGAAAACTGCAGGGAAGAAAGGGTGGATGTTTGAAGAGCAGAGAGGAAAAAAAAGAAATGCAGCACAATTGGTACAATAAATATCTCTCTCTTTCTCTTCTCGCTTCTCTGCCTTGTTCCCCGAATTCGCAAACACCCAGGCCAGATGCGACTTTCCAGGCGATTGTATACAAACTGGTGCCGGGACTGTACGAGAAGGAGCTGCAGCGGAGACGAGGCTTCTACAGCAGTCGCCCCGAGGAAGCGAAGCTGGCGACACCAGAACAGAGGGGTGAAGACATAGAACACCTCATCTTCAGGCCCACCGAGAAGATCTCCCTCTCCCTGGAGTACGCATTCATTGAGTGAGTATAAAGGCTTCCCTGTAGCCCAGAAAAAAAAATCAAGGGGCAGATATTATGGTCGGAAGTGTTGCAGAACTTCACAGAAGTGTCAAGGATTGGAAGTGGCAAAATATTTCAGATATTTAAATTGAAAAAATTTAGATTTCCATAAATTTGTGCATTTTCTGAACTATTTTGCCTAGAAAAATCAATTTTATTGCTTTTCTAGGTTATGTGAATGATTTAAAACAGTTTCTAGGTGTTCAAATAACCCTTAAAATCATCAAAATTGTGTTTAATCTGGGAATATTTCGCTTTTTCTTGGCATAATTGAACATTTGAGTTCGAAAAAACTCCAGATTACTTAGAAAACAGCTTAAAAGTCAACCATAACCTCACAAAAGTCTAAGAGAATTCTCTTTGCTGTGTTATTTTTCTGCGATTTCTGCTTTTAAATGGCAAATATCAAGTTTATTATCTAGAAAAAAATATTGAGATATTCAATATATTGACACATTTCTAGGTTTGGAAGAATTAAAATTGGATTTTTAGGTCGAATTCATAACCTCACAATTTGGTTTAAATTTTTCTAAACATTTTCCAAAGGCAAAACTAGAAAATCAAGACGGAAATTATTCCTGAATTAATCCTGGGTAATTAAGATCTGTTCTTACGTTCTGAAATCTAAGTATTTGAATAACTTAAACCTCTGGAGAGAGAAAAACCTGAATTATATTGTGATAAGTTAAAAATGCACGTAAGAAATATTTGAAGAAGTAACAAAAAGCGATTAAAAATTGCTTTTTAAGGTGTTTAGAAGTGTCTGAAGTGTTGAAGATTCTGCAGAGAAATTGCGAGAGTGTCACGAAGTTGTGTTATTATCTCCCCCTTGGAAAAATCTTTCACTCACAATTGTCTCTTTCTTAAACAGTGAGCACAAGAATCGCTCCCTGGAGCTCACGAAGCCCAAATACCTTCAGTGTCCTGCCATCTTTCCCGTTTCACTCCTCGGCAAATTCGTGATGATGAAATTCGGCATCGATTCAGCGCAATTCAATGTGAGTTTTTTTTTTCATTCAGAGCCTTTTTGTTGCCTGTCACAAGCAAGAGGATTCAATTATTGATTGGTGATTTATGTTGGGCAATATTTCTAGGTGGATATCATGTACAAGGTCAAGACAATTGTGCTGCCAGAGTACTACACACTGATGGACGTGGCGTACATCTACACGTGGAAGAGGGTGAGTTGGGTGACTTTCATCATATTTCAATTTAAAATCCTCCCCCAGCCAGCCCCAGCGTGTGCATTGTGCGCTGCTCCAGAGTCCCAGCGCGTATTTAATTAAGAATTTCCAGGAGAGATAATCTAATACTTTTTGCTCGTGTTCCGTCAAAGGGTTGAGGGATTTTTTGCGCAGCACTGCAAAGGGTGGTGGCGCTTTTAGAATAGACAGTGAAAATTCCCCATTCATCAAAGGGAATTGCAAAGTATCGATTCAATCGCAAATTAATCTAAAGGACACGAAAGTCTCCTCTGGAGGGGCTGAAAATGAAATTCAATACTGAACAAATATTTTCTCTCTGCGAAAAAGTATAATTTCTTCATGTTTTTCTTCACTTTGCTTTTGGAAGATTCATGGAGAGGAAGAGAATTTTTGATTTTCCTCATATTTTTGTTGCATTAAAACATCAAAAAGCAACTGAGAAGCTTTAGAGATGGCCAAATTAAATTGAAAATTGCCATGATTATCCTGCTCAATTTCACTTCTTGACGCCAAATAATCCAAATTGTACTTTGACATCTCCATCCAAATCCACCCAGACTGAGTACAAACATCTTCACTAGTGCGCTCCCTTTGTATGCCCACAAAACGTTTCTATAGAAACGATGGAAAGTTGAACTGGAGACTTTGAGATATTACTTTAAGCTCTCTTCTCACGGCAAAAACTCAAAACTTCCCTGTTCAACGTGTGTATTTTCCTAAACTAAAGTGAAATTGTGGCATTGCAATTCCATCTGTTGACTTTATTGATTTTTTTTTAGTTCACATCAAGGGCGCAATGTTTAGTAATCCATCTGCATTGTGCAGCATTTGACCTATTTTGCATGTGTTTTTAGAGTGTGTGCATTTGATGTAATTTTGATTCATTGTCCCCCTTTCGACAGGAGGCCCCGATGCGGTTCTTCTTCCGCGTGCGCACGAAGGAGACGAAGAGCGAGGAGCTGCCCGAGGTGCCCCTCCGCCGATCGCCCAGCATCAACAGCCGCCAGGCGCAGGTGGCGACAGATGACGCGACCCCGGAGGTCAAGGAGGAGAGTGCGAAGGACACGCCGAAGCCGAGCGCCCCGGCCAAGAAGGATATCAGTGACAAGTGCATAAAAGTGGAGAAGAGCGCGGTGAAAGTGGGGAAGAGTGGTAAGAAGAACTACGAGGAGTGCGTGAAGAGTGAGAAGAGTGAGAAGAGAGACAAGGAGGGCGTGAAAGTGAAGAAGGAAAAAGTGTCTCAAGAGAGTGGCAAGAAGTGTGAGAACATCAAATTGAAAATTGGCCTGTCCAAGGACAATTCCAAGATGATGGTGATTAAGGACATCTCCCCAAATCCGTCAGAGAAGAAGAGCAAGGCGACTGAGACACCCTCGAAGAGTCCCAAGGAGAGAGTGCCTCAGGTTGTGGTGAAGATTGAAAAGTGTGCTGAGCCGAAGACTGTGGTGATTCCCACGCAAAAGGAGATGCAGAAGAGTGTCAAGCAAGAGCCAAAGAGTCCTACGGAGGTGAGTAATCACACGCCAACAGCAAATAGCACTCCGAGAACTCCTGTGAAGCTCGAGGCGAGGGAGAAGACGCCCAGTCCCACTTCCAGTCCAGCTCCGTCCACGGCGAAGGAGGTTGATGTGGAACAGCAGATGGATCTCGAGGAGATTACCAAGTCTCAGTTCCTCAACTCCTTCGAGCTGACGGCCAAGAAGGTGGACGTGAGCAAGAGCCAGACCAATCCCAAGACTGATAGTGCATCGAAGAGGAAGAGTAAGGAGCCGGTGAAGAAAAATCGCCTTCCGGAGTTGCCAAATTTGCTGGCTGACAATCCCAATGTGTCAGTGGATGTGGAGGAGAAGAAGAAGCCCCCGGTGACTAATGGATTTGTCGTGCCCAAGGCGGAGCCGCCCAGCAAGAGGCCTAAGAAGGATGAGGTCACCGTGCCGCGCAGGAAGTACACGAATTTCGTGAAAATCGCCCCCAAACAGAGCTCAAGCACTGTTTCATCGCTGATGAACAGCGCTGCCTTCATCGGCGGCTCGGGCACATCGAAATTGTCAATGAGATCCTCATCGACACCCTCCAGAATCGCCCCGCCGCGTCGTCAGTCTGTCGCCACGGACAATCCGTCGCGCATTCTGCAGGACACCTTCTCGATGCTGCAGAAGAACAGCACGGAGATAAAGAAGATCGACGCGGCGAAGGAGGGAAAGGTGTACGGGCCACAGATGAGACCACCTCCGACGCCAGGACTGCCGATGCCGCGCACCCCCAATCACGTGCCCGAGTATTGGAACTTCTCGATGCGGAACGGCTCGCCCAAGACGTACATGTCGCCCTACAGCCTGTCATCGCCACTGTACACCCCCAATTACTCACCCAACTCACCCCAGTACGCGCCCACCTACAACATCCCCATCACCCAGTCGCAGTTCAAGTACACGGGCCTCCCCACGAACAGCACGGCCGGACTGCCGCGGGCGCTGGGCAAGGGCGCCGAGGAGAAGAAGGAGAAGCGGGAGGACAGGGAGCATAAGCGCGCAAAATCAGCATCACCCACCGCAGAAGCTGGGGAGCCGCCGGAGAAGCAGAGAAAGGTAAGATCAATCATAAGAAAAAAAAACTACCAGACTTCCGGGAAATCGTCTGAATTGCAAAGAAAGCAATTCAATTTCTCTCATCCATACACATTTTTTTACCCTGCGAAAATGTCCCCAAAACGAACCCCTCCAATTCATTCGTCGCATTCGAACCATTCGACTGTATGATAAGAACCGACTTTGGATGATTTATTACCAGCGATGCTTAAAATATTTCAAATATACTGTCGGTTCGTTAGGCTTCAGCATTTTTTTTGTCCTAAACACTGAGAGCTTTAGTGTGAAGTGAAATGAATTTTTGGTGATTTATCAGAGCTGCCAAAATACGTGCTGAAAGCTTTGAGAATCACCCCCCTCATTATTTTCTTCCCCGAATTCCATTTTAATTAGAAGCGAGTAAAATGAGGGATAAGACATTTTAATGATATCGATTAATTACCCAGAAATTCAATGTAAAATATTCTTTTTTCTCCATCACAAGATGTATTTTTGCACTTGTGATTGACTTTATTAATGGTCATGATTACATTTTTATTTGTTATTATGAGAAATCTCTCAAATGCAGACAATTTCATTGAATTTTTGCTTAGGGGGTGAGATTGTTGGATATGAATGTGTTTTGTACTCGACAGGTGCAATCACTGCTGAACTCCTGCAACATCACCTTTCCCTCGTCACTCTCGATAACACTCACGAATGAGCAGAACGATGCAGAGGCTAACAAAAGCAGCAAGACTACAAAGCTGAAGAAGCCTGTCAATAACTACATTGAGATTCTGAAGTTGCCAAGCGACGGAGCCACAACTGTGACCCCAATTCCCCCCGCCGAGGACACCCGCAATGGCAAAGTGTCGCCCAAAGAGAAGCCGAAGGATTTGCTCACGAAGGTCAGTGAACTGGCGACCAAGGCCACGGAGACGAGCAAGAAGGGTGACAAGGAGACGGAAGCCACCAAGAAGCAACTGCCCAAGCTCAATCCCATCGACAAGGCGTCGCCGAGTCTGCCGACAAGCGAAGGTGGAGCTGAATCCTTCCAGCAGACCTACCTCATGTCCCTCCTCAATCAGTCCGACTACAAGAACAAGATGCAGAACAAGCTGTACGATCTCAAGACCAACAAAATCATCCCGCTTGACGGAGTCACGTCGACATCGCCCGAGAGCCGGCCTAGTCCTCCGCCGCCGCCCAAGTCCAAGAGCGAGCCGAGCTCGCTGGTGAAGGAGAGCCAGAAGGAGGAGGTGAAGCCCTCCAGGTCAGCATCAGCCCTGGATCTCTCCTCGGTCACGTCCAGTGCGGACGCGCCCGAGGCGAAGGACAAGAAGTCGAAGGAGGCCAGAAAGTCCCCGCAAGTCGCTCTGATGCCACTGTCGCACATTCCGCCCTCGCCGGACCTCCTGATGGCCGGTCTGACGCCAGCCTTTCCCGGCCCCCTGAACTATCCGGCCTTCTGGATGGAGCAGTATCAGCGCATGAAGAAGGCCGGATCCGAAGCGCTCGAGCTCTACTTCCAGAACATGCAGAAGAGCGTGGGCAAGTCCAAGGGCGCCTCGGAATCCAAAACCCCACCCCCTTCGACGCCCACCACTATCTCCTCCACCGTGAAAGACGCTGACAAATGAGCCACATCTTCTAGTTCCGAGTCGTTGGACGCAAAATCCCAACTTTCCTATTTATTCTACTGTTCTGTGAACTTTGCGCGATAATTTCTGTACATATATTTTATACGACTGTCAGTGTGCTTAAGAGATGAAAGAAATAGAAGAAATGCCAATCCCGGAAAATGTAATCGAAGAAACAGAGAGCAATCATGGGAAGTGTTTATGTGTATAAATATATTTTCTACCGAAATAAACTATATTCTAATGGATTTCGTGTGTTTTAATTAAAAACCCGTTGAAGAGAGAAATGAAATTCGCATCGTGAGACTTTTGTAAGTATCTAAACTACTTATATGTTTCAATAAATTTAATCTAGATTGTTCTGTGGTTTTATATACCAAATGCAACCCTCTTTATATAAACGTCTTTTTGCCTCAACTTTGGCTTAACTTAAAACCAAGGGGAAAATCACTCGCGATTTGGAACGAATAAGTTTGTGATTAATTAAACATTTCTTGATTTTTCGAGATTCTTATGTTAATTTTTAGTTATATTATTTATTTTGGCAAAAAAGAGAAAAAGTCAGAAATTTGCCACAAACTGAATTTGAACTCCTCAAAAATCAGTTTTGCCTTTGAGAAATAGAATCGGAACTTCTTCATGTCTTTGAAAATTGATCAGCTTGAAAAGCTTCACTCTCGTGGTCAAATGTCCTTCTCTCCTGGCCAGGATCACTTCAGGAAGTCGTAAAGTGTGAAAAAGCGTGAGAAAAGAGAGAAAATCATGCGAGAAATGCGATATTATAAGCGTTCCCCACGCCAACTTTGTTGCCCTCTGGTGGCGATATGTGGAAAAAATAATCAAGCATTGAAAATTTGAATGAAACATCCAGAAAATATCATTTTATGATAAATTTTATGCAAATTTTCATTATACAAAGTAATAATCAGTAATTAAATATTCCTCGAGAATCCCCTTGTAATCCGCCCCTTGTATCGCAACTAACACAGAGGATTTTCACACAATCACCACAAACTTGTGAATAAAAAACAACTTTATCAGACGTCGCATCGCGGAAAGGCGCGGTATTCAGAAGTCCCAAAGTGGACAGTCATGAGCGAAGTGTAATTTATGAGACTAATTTCCGCGCTCTCGGAGGAAAATGTTCACTGGGAAAGCGCGAGTCGCTGTGCATCGACGTGGGTTCAATTTTGGTGGATAGGAAAGGCGCGCAAATTGATAAGAAAGTACTGTCATTATGTGCAAAAAGTACATAAAAACAACTTATACATTGAGTTTCTCCAGCCAGACTCTTTCGCTGCGTACATAATTTGTTCACCCTTCGTGTATAATTTATGTACAAAATCAGCTCTCGTCGTTTTATGTAATATACCGAAGAGTCTTATGTGCTTGCGGCCGGTGTATGAGAGACATTCTCCCCTTAGGATATTGAAAATATTCCTCTTTGCTTCTTGTCGAGTTATTTTCTCCGCTTTTTTTTTCTTCCGTTTTGCCGCTTGTCCTTTTTACCCCTCGATGAGAGTGAGATGGAAAAAAGGCTCAGCTTTAAAATGTCACATTTTGCAATTTACAGTTGGATTTCTGTCATACACATTTGGTCCGTTTTCTTTTTCCCTCGCAAAAATATAATGTTACACACACTTTTTTTTGGCGCGAATCGCACGAATGACAGAGAATGAAGGATTTCCCAAGAGAAATTCCGCGTACAGCATAGGCAAATATGTAGTTCAAGTGTTTGAGAGCAAACAGAAATTTCCATTTGCAGCAATTTCATTCCTTTATGCCTCTCTTGCTTATAACACTGCTCAATTCGTGAGTGAAACATTATCGCTTTCCAATACAATCCTGCAGTGACAAAGCGACTCGTTTCCTCTCTCATTCCTTCACTCTGTGCCACAGGGTGTGTGGAAAGCCGATGGCGAGCCATGTGAGTTGGCAATTGGAATTCCGCATTGGAAAGAGAGTCTCATGTGTGTGCCAACGGATCACCCTTTTCCACCAAATCTCATTACAATGCGAACCTCGAATGTCTTTGGCGCTTCCCAGCTCGCGCTGAACCCTTGGCTCTGTGTGCGTCTCGTTCCATCTCCTCGCCTTTCGAGGTGGAAAACGGCAGCGAGACTTATTTGATTACCATCTTTCTTAGCATTTGTGCACAGAGTTGATGAAAAAAAGATTCTTCAATTTCACGTTTTGCCCTCTCTTTCGCGCCTCCTCTTTCTTTGCCTCAGCCCAGCGTGAAAGGCTCACAATAGGTTTTTCTCAAGAGAAACGCGCCACGAGTGCCTTGAAAGAATGGATATGATTCGCTGATCAGAGCGAGAGACTTCGCAGTGTGCTCGAGATCAGGTTTATTTTTTCACTTCGCTGTTTGTACATCAATTTTGGAAGAGAATTATGTCTTCTGTCCTCTTTAAATGGCACTCAAAGAAATCGATTGCTGTAATTTCCGTTTTATCATTGGACATAAAATATTTTTAAGAGTCAATAAATACCGAAATAATCTCATAAATCAGCGAAATATAAAGATCTTCTACAGTAAAAATCCGTAATTAGAAGCTGGGATTTAAATCACAGCTACTAATCTGTTATTAATCTATAAACTTAAGGTCACTAAATTCAAAAATCAAGTATGAGAGGTTTAAGAAATATAATTCTAGAAAGTTTATGTCTAAAAAAATAGAAGAAAAGACCAAAGAAAGGGTCGTTGTAACTTTATTTGGCCTCACATTTTAAATAAACTGTCAAGAATATGAATTCGTGACGTTTCTGAACCGTTTCAAACGTTGACGTTTGAAGGCAATTCATATATTTTGTCACGTGAAGAGAAGAAGAGCCGGAAAATCACATGAAAAGCGAGGAAATAGACTGAAATGATGTCTTTAGGTTGATTTTCAAGGATTTATTGGATTTCTTCGGTCTTTTGTACAAATTTCAATGCACCAAATTGAGTTTATGACATTTGCCAGAGAAATTTATTGACTTCAGAAACTGATTGAATGTTTGACAGCTGTAATTTGTATTAAAGAAACTCTGAACTTCGCCTTTTATCGTCATTTCGTTCGTATTTCATTCATACTTTGCATTAACACCGCCTTTTGACCGCCAATATAAGCCATGAAACTTTGAATTTACAATCAGAATTCATAACTTTTACGAACTGAAATACGAAAGTTGCAAAGTTGCAACGACGTGTCCGTTAAATTTCAGGAAAAACTGATATTTTCCCTACACCGATGAAGTGTTAATGCACGTGTAAAATCTCTCAGTGATAGAGAACTTCTCCCTAAAATATGCACAAAGTATGAACGAGTTCTGGGCCCATAATAGTCGTGTTGGAAGTGAAGAGAAAGAGCGAGAATGGAAGAGATTATAGGTATTTGCGCAGGAAATATTCTATGTTAATCCAATTTCCGCTTTGTTTTTGTGGACAAGCTCAAAATCAGCCACTTTAGCCGGCGCACATTAGTTACTGGCCACTCAGCATGCCATGTTCTTGTTCAACACACCAGCGCAAGAGGCAATCTTTCAAGTGTATCTGGCGGGAATTTTACAAATCTCTCATGCAGCATCGTTAGTTTCGAGGCTTTCGCGGTAATTTATTGGTAGAAAGTCGTCGTCGTTGTGATATTATTTGCTGATGTTTGCAAAATATACACACACCAAGTGTGACTCTCGGCACAGGAGTGATTTTTAATTAAAAACGCCAAGTCGCAATTTTCTCGCAATTTCACCGCAGCTGAGAATAAATCTCAACTCCGGAAATTATTCTAGAGACCACAAGAAGAACTTCTGTATGTGCCCAGGTGAAATGAATTATGTCCTCTGGCTTTGTGTGACATCAGAAGCGTAAGCAATTAAGCTATAAAATTACCCGCGTGCATCTGGGCGCTGCAGTTGTGTTTGTAAAACCATTAAAATTGCACAGATGGAAGTTTCTTGCTTGAAACAAATTACAATTATTGTTGCAAGCACATGAAAACACATTTGAAGATAAGAACATTCCGTGCATTTGGAGGTCAAAAATGGCGTTCAAATGATATATATACATTTTCTTTTTATGTTCCACCTCAAACATCACACTCACAATTCTTCAGCACGCAACGTCAGTGCTGTCGAAATAGAGTTATTCATTCATAATTTTTCCCCTGGAATGCAGAAAAAACCGTAAATTTTCGTTACCGCAGAAGATTGAAATATTGTAGTTTCCTTTTGGCAGCGACAAGGTGGAGATATTATGGTCAGAAGTGGTGGAAGTGCTAAAATATTTGTAATATTAGGCATTTAAAAGCTACCTTTGAAATGAAATTAACGCAATTTTTTGAGAATTTTCACTGTAAAAATTCTCATTGTTTTTTTTTAGGTTATGTAACCAACATTAAGCAAAATTTAGTGATTAAATTAACACCGAGAAACGCCAATTTATGCACCTTAATTAGAATAATTCGTATTCCTTAGTAAAGTTGAGCGTTTGTAATCAAATATTAAACTGTGATAATTACGTTAAGATCGATCATAACCTCTAAAATATTGTTTCCGAATCTAATCAAGGTATTTTTTTTAGGTTATGGTCAACTATGTATCCAAAAGAGGGATTAGAAATTGAATCACATCAAAATATTCGCTCTGCAAGGTTTTTTCAAAGCAATACAAGCAAAAATTTAGGCTTTTTATAACAATTACAACCTAAATTTGAGGTTATGATACTTTAAGCGGTTGGAAAATAAGGAAAACGCATGTTTTAAGCTCTCTGTCGAAGTTCTGGAAGTGTCTGTGATTCTCCACAGAAATAGTGGGAGTGTTAGGAAGTGATGTACACTGTTTTTCCTCATTATCTCCCCCTTGGACAGAGAGAAAGTCACGAACTTTTGTATGTGAGAAATTCTGTGTAAGGAAAGGAATAAAGTCGATGAAATTCAATTAAAACTTTCAATTAATAAATGGCCACTCGAGGAGTGAACGACAAGTCATATTTTTTCGTTAACGTCGCACAGTTGGCGGGAAGTTAAGGGGCGAAGAACTGTGGCTTCCAATGTCGTGACGAATTGCATTACACGCGGATTGAATTTGAGGGATTAAGGAGATAATCACACTAAGTGATTAAACGTGTTTAAAGAGACATCAGAGGATCTGTGGCAATTGTGTTCCTTCACCGAGTTTTGAAGGTTCAGATTGTTATCCTTCAATTTCCGACTGGCAACAGATTTTCTAAAAAGGATTTTGATATTAAACCAATTAATTT